CTATTCATTTTTTTTTTAAGTTTTTTCAGTTACAGACTAACATGGCTAGCCCTCTGAAGGTATGTCTACATAATTATTCCAAAATAATGTAATCCTTGTCTACGTGTAAGCGGTTATTTTGAAATAATGTTGAAATAATATTGAGCTGGAGGACTGCTTACTCTGACTCCTGTAACCTTCATTGCATGAGGAGTATGGGAAGTTGGAGGAAGAGTGCTCTATTTTGAAATAAGTTCTGTGTAGACATTCCCAAAATCGAAATAAGATATTTCTACTTAAGCTACACAATTAGCATAGCTCAAGTAGCCTAGCTTATTTCGAGTTTAGCCCTGCAGTGTAGACATACCCTAAGAGTTTTAAAAAGGGAATATTTAACTCAGGTCGTATAATTTAAAAAGTATATATACCTGCTCTAAATCAAGAGAGTATTTGTGTTTCTTTAGGCCTAAGCATAGGATCACCACTAAAGTTGATGATTATAAAACCAAAATTACTTCATTTGATGGCTACTCTGTCTATCTGTGCAAGGCTAATAGACTCTGAAGAACATTATCAGGGACAGGTAAAACCATGTTGATTTTGGTATCAGACAGCAGTGTGAATACACTGTTCTTAGTATCAGACTCTTTTTTTCTTAATATAATTAGGGTATGTCTACACTACAAAGTTAATTCGAACTAACAGACGTTAGTTCAAATTAACTTTGATAGGCGCTACACATACAAACCGCTAGTTCGAACTTAATTTGAACTAGTGGAGTGCTTAATTCGAACTAGGTAAACCTCATTCTACGAGGACTAATGCCTAGTTCGACTTAACTAGTTCGAATTAAGGGCTGTGTAGCCACTTTATTCAAACTAGTGGGAGGCTAGCCCTCCCTAGCTTTCCCTGGTGGCCACTCTGGGCACAACCAGGGAAACTCTTCTGCCCCCTCCTGCCCGGAGAGCTTAAAGGGGCACGGGCTGGCTACGGTGCCCGTGCCAGGTGCAAGCCTGCCAGCACCCAGCCAGCAGACCCTGCACCTGGCACGGCACGAACCAGCTACCCGCTGCCACCCAGCCCTCCGCCTCTTCCTGGGACCAGGCTGGTGGCTCCTGGGAGCCTGCCCGGTTCCGCAAGAGGAGAGCGCCCACCTGGTCTAGTGCGGAGATCGTGGACCTCATCCATGACGTCCGCATTAGGCACAGGAAAGTGGCCGTCTAGGGCAGGATAGCTGCCAGCCTGGCCACCCAGAAGCAGGTTTGCATGAAAATCAGGGTGGTCTAGTGAGACCACCCACCCTGAGTCCTGAGTTTAGAATGGCCGTCCTGGGTCAGACCAAAGGTCCATCTAGCCCAGTAGCCTATCTGCCGACAGCAGCCAACACTAGGGACCCTGGAGGGAATGGACCGAAACAATGACCAAGCCATTTGTCTCATGCCATCCATCTCCAGCCTTCCACAAACAGAGGCCAGGGACACCATTTCTACCCCTTGGCTAATACCACTCTATGGACCCAACCTCCATCACTTTATCTCACTTCTCTTTAAACTCTGTTATAGTTCTAGCCTTCACAGACTCCTGCAGCAAAGAGTTCCACAGGTTGACTATCTGCTTTGGGAAGAAGAACTTTCCGCTACTAGTTTGAATCCTGCTACCCATTCATTTCATTTGGTGTCCTCTAGTCCTTATATTATGGGAACTAATGAAGAACTTTTCTTTATGCACCCTCTCCTCACCACAGTCTCCTCTTTTGTAAGCTGAAAAGTCCCAGTCTCTTTAGCCTTTCTTCATATGGGACCTGTTCCAAACCCCTGATCATTTTAGTTGCCCTCCCCTCTCCCACCCTGTCTCTTCCCCTCTCCCACCTCCTTTTCCCAGTCTCCCCAGTGGTTAACCCTCCTCCCCAGTTTTGTTCAATAAAGAGAGTTTATATTTTTGAACACACGTGTCCTTTATTTTGTACATCAGGAAGGGGGGCTAGGGAGGGGTAAGTGGAAGGAGGTGAGGGAGGAATGGGGCATGAGCCCCCGATGGGGAGGACTGGGATGGTTTTGCGGTCTCCTTGGGGTGGAAGCTCTCCTGCAGCCCCCCGATTGACCTCCATCACTGATGGCCGAGTGCTGTGATGTGCCAAGTGTGGGCACTCAGGGGACTCCAAGCCAGGACTGCTTTGCTGTCCCTCATCAAGGTAGACAAGCAAGCGGAGAACCCTGAGAACTGTCTGTCCGGGGTGGGGATCGGGTCCCTTTAAGCACAGCCCTCGACTAGCCCGAGTCAGCAGCTCCACGCTCTCAGTCCTAACTGCCGGCACTGCTTCCGGCCAGCCTTAACTTTGGTTCAGGGTCCAGAATTAGCAAAACGCTAATTCGAACTAGTTTTTAGGTCTAGATGCACTAGTTCGAATTAGCTTAGTTCGAATTAACTAATTCGAATTAAGTTAGTTCGAATTAGTGCTGTAGTGTAGACATACCCGGAGGCTCTTAGTGCTCCTCAGGGTGGAAGCTCTCCTGCAGGGCCTCCTGGACACTAACAACCCCCCGATGGACCTCCCGGATGCCAGCCTGCAGAAAGTGTAGCCAGGCTCACAGCAACATGTCCATGAGAAGCATCAGAGTACCCAGGGACAGCTCTGGCTCCATGTTCCAGGAGGAATAACATATCATTCGATTTAGGGCTTTAATTTGGAATCCCATTTCACTGCCGCATGTAGATGCGGACAGTTACTTCGGGCTAGTCAATTTCTAAAATGGCGACCAGCCGGGAACATGCCAAATCCCATGCTTCATTTGCAATTTCGGTCGCCCTCATTAGCCTCCCTAGATTGAACTAGGGGGCTAGTGTAGACATACCCTTACTTACGACTAGATATCTCAATGCTATCATTTGAACCCCAAAGTCTACATTCTCCATTTTCATGGACAGAACAAAAGGCATCCTTTATTCCCTAAAAAATAAAGTATTTCTGCTTTATGACTGTTTTTGCCCAATTTATTAATGTATGCCAATTTTATTTATTGAACATTTATCAGAATTGTTACAGAGTCTAAGAAGCAGCAATTCAAGATTACTTTCTAATTGCAACTTGCTCTAGATTTTTTTTAGGTAATGAAGACTGTCTTCTCTTACAGTATGTCAACAGGAATTTTTATTCATATTATAATTTTGGCATTTCCAGTTTAGAATTTTCTGCATGTCTCCATGTTTGCATTTTAATTGGGTTCGGCTATCCAGCGGATTAGCACAAAAATGTCAGCTTGTACTTCTCTTAACCCTTTTATTTAATAACTGTGAATGTACAGACGACTTCAGCATTAAACAGTGAGCTATTCTTTCAGTGCAGACAGTTAGATTACACCTATGGCAATTAAAATGTTTGGCAAATACAAGAGAAGTATTTGTACATAAGCACATTTTAAAGTGTGGTCAAAAAATTTAGTTTTTATTCAAATCCCCCAATTTGGTAAGAAAATGTTGATAAAAGGGACTGAAAGTTTATGTTTCCACAAAGTACAGAACAGATTGATGCTGCCATGCACTGTGAAAAGCAACTTTCCATGGATTTGACTCTAGTATAGCATTATTTCATTTGTATGAGACTAACCTCCCTTGTGCAGGAGTTTTATCCAGCAACTTTTTACATTCCTTCCTTGAACAGCTGCTTATAAAACAAATCTCTGGAGTATAGTCAAAGGGGAGAGAAAGATTCCTGAGGACAAAGTGGAACAAAATAACATTCATTTTGCAGAAACTAGAGTTGATTTGTTCTTGACAGGGCAGAGAGGATGTGAATTTAGATTTTAAAGAGAAAAACAAATTACCATGCTAGACTACAAACACTAGAACTTTCTGTGAGAAACTCAGTAAAGTATGATTCAGCATGATTTTACTGCCTTCAGTTAGTTAGGGCCCAATCCACTTACTCCTCATGTAATGTATCAGCTGAAATCACTGGGGCTCAGCCTTCTGACCTATTTTGGGGTTACTTGAAATTACACTGGCCTTTTAAGAGCTTGGACCATCTGCCTGAGGCATTATCTTATATGTGATTAACAAAGTTGTGACTCCTTGTTTTTAAATCCATGCATCATTTTCCTGCCTTTGCCTCTCGTTTGTGCTATGCTGGCACCAAAATGACATTCTATCAAAAGCTTAACATTTCTCACATTCTGAGATCCTTAGTGCCTTTGTCAGATTAAAATCTGGTGCCATATTTATAATTATTTTGATTCATTATTTTACGAATTCATTGTGGCATGAAATAAATTGTATTAAAAATCAAATGAAAGCACACTATGTTTCATATTCTCTGATGCCTTTTGAACATGATCACACATACATTTTCCCATGCCTCTTGCATACTTCAATAGTTTAGAAATTAACGTTACAGAAAGTCTATGAGGTAAAATATGAATGTTGCATATCCCCTAAATACATATTTACATAAGCTGTTAACGCTTCCAAAGAGCTGTCAGACTCCTCACCCAAATATCTCACTCATGTCATTTCAACATTCATTCTTATGAGGAAAATTCTGAGACAGAGTACCCCAAACTGTGAGAGAGGGTACATCTACACTACAGTGTTATTTCGAAATACCATATTTTGATATAGTTATTTTGAAATACCTTATTTCGAAATAGTGCTTCCACACTGAGTGGATGCTGAATCTCATTTAAGGCGGGCCAGAACCAGGTCCAGTAGGACATCAGTTCAGGAGTTAATTTGTGTATTGTTCAGGAGTGCACGGGATGAATTTTATCAGGGGTTTTATCAGAATTTTAGCAGGCTCTAGCAAGAACCCAAAGCCCCCTGCTCCTCCCCGCTCCCCCCAGACAGCCGGTTCTCAGCTTTATGTACATAAATACCAATAATGCTCACTGGCCAACTACCTTTCTATTGTGGGTGGATGATTTCCTGCAGGCATCTTGGTACAAATAATATTTCTCCCTTTAAACCCACGTTGTTGTTTTACCCCCAGCCTTGTGACAATCAGGGCCGAAAAGAAATAAGTTAAGTACCTCCAATAACAGTATTCTTTGAGGTCCTGGAGCTGCCACAGTAGCTGAGAAGCAGGTGACCTGGATTTCCTGCCAGTCTGTGGGGACATGTCCAGATCCAGAGAATACACAGGATATGGATGCCAGTTTTCTGACCTGTTCAGAAAGGAGAAATGAGGATAGGAAAAATTTGAGACTCTCACTGGGATTTTTTTCCTTTTTGTCTCCTTCTTTTGACTTCACACAGGATCCAACAGGATCTGAATACACATATTTCATTTACCTTAATGTAAGAGATATAGACGAATGCACTATTGAAAGATTGGTCACACAGGAAATGAACCATAAATCCAGAAGTAAAGCTAAATTAAATTAGCTCTGATTTAAGTGTTCCAAAAACTATTGCGTAAATAACAGATTTTTTGCATCTTTAGGATTTCCTGCAATCTTTCCCAAAATAGTATGAGAAATAAATTCCATCTGATCTGAATTTAAATTTGTTGGTATTATTGGCAAATTAAAAAGACAACAAAAATTGTTTCTGATCAACTTATCCGATAAGTTACTGTCTTGCTTTATTTTCAGGCTTTTACTTTTTTAAAGTAAAAACAAAGGAAATTAATGGATGCATTCACAAAACCAGAGAAATGTGAGCAGGAGCATCCTTTCCACTTACGCCCAAAAGCTAAGTCATTAGGATATTCATCTGGGAGAGTTAGGTTTGACTTAGGGATTTCATCATCTTACAGAGGTACCCTAATCAGTAGTCTATAGAATCAAAGTGAAACAGTTGAGTTTTCCCCGGTAGCCAATAGGCTAATGGATATGGTACTTACTTAGCAGGAGAAGCGACAAGGAGTCCTGTGGCACCTTACAGACTAACAGATGTATTGTGCATCTGACAAAGTGGGTCTTTGCCCACGAAAGCTTATGCTCCAATACATCTGTTAGTCTGTAAGGTGCCATAACAGGAGAGTGACTCAAGTCCCTAGTTCAGAAAAAGTCTTCAAACGGGGGTCTTCCATATCATACCAGGTGAGTGTCTAGCTACCCAGACATTTGCACATAAAGTGGAAGACATCATGAGCAGTTTTTTGGAAATAATTCTCCCTTGTCAATCTAGCTCTTCAATTTTCTTTTCTGATAATAAGAATATCATATCATGTGAACAGAGTTGAAGATTAACATAATCAGCTTTAACCTCTTTTAACAAACACTCCCTAATAAAATACTATTGTGATCAATTTGGATGTAATTCATTTATTGCAAAACCTGCTGAAAATATAATATGATGCATCTGATGAAGTGGGTTTCAACCCACAAAAGTTTATGTACAAATAAATTTGTTAGTCTTTCAGTTGCTACAAAACCCCTCGTTGTTCTTGCTGAAAATATAGTGTCACCTTTAAACTGCTTTATTGTTTATCATGTATAAAATTAACAACAAAAAGGTTGTTGCAATTTTAGCATAAGTAAAAGTTAGTATGATTGGATAATGATTCAAAATAATCAAAGTAACCTGATCTCCTTTGATCTGTAATTTGATTGCAAATATCATCTCATAAAACAGGGGAGGACAACTTTTTTTGGATCTTGGGGCTGCTGGCCCCCAGGCAAGTAGATTTTGTGTGCGCCAGCCTCACAGTGGGATAGCGGGGGAGTAAGGGGGGAGGGAGGCTGGAGTACCAGTTCAAGCTCCCCAATGCTGTTGGGGGAAGGGGGAGCCCTGAGCCTTGGGAGCTGGATTCAGGAAAGCTGGAGACGGTAGGTTCCCCACCCCTGTCATAAAACTTCCAACATTTCAAGCACTCCTTAGAATCTAGCTGTGATGAGAACACACATAGATTTGAATTGTATTTGCTATGGACAAGTCTCATAGCAGTGGATTAGCATAACTATGCTAAAAATTCCTGATGAAATGAAAATAATATAATTATTTTAAAGGGTAATTGTGTTATTGAAAACTATGTAGACCGCTAATGTAATATTGTGATTTAATATATGTTTGTGGGGGATAAAGACTGATCTGTTTTCAAATAATAAAATAAATTTGATAAATAAATGTGTGACGCCAACAGCTGTATGGAAGTGTGATTATTTTTATGAGATTTCTGTGCTATGAATTGTGAAATAACGTTGTCCTTTACAACTTCCTTTAGCAGCTTCTAGTCAGTGATTGCTGAGACAGATTTCTTTTCCAGAAGTTAAAAAGGAAGATTGCTTTTTTGTTTCTGAGTGATAACAATTTCATTACAACCTTCAGATGTAAGACTTATGTTACTTTAGGTTGAGATGGAATATTTTATTGAAAATAAATGATAGACAAGCTGAAATATCACTTGGGAAATGAAAACGGCAAAGGAAAGTTCAAGAGCAATAAAGGTTCCACAAGTGAGACACAGGACTGTGACAGCAAACAATGCTGAACTGCAAGGAGTTTTGACTGAAAGCATTTTGTATTCTACAGTCAAATATCAAAGACAAATCTTGGGCTATTAAGATAACTATTGAATGTATGACTTTGACGACTGAATTAGAAGAATAACAACAATGTATTTTAGAATGAGCAGAAGCAACAGTCCTGACATTTGAATTTATCAATAGTCATTCCTTTCACAGGACTCTCACACTACAGTACAATGAATGAGTCCCTTTTTACGGGACTCATTTATAACAGTTTATAAGAAACAAATATTTAGTCATTCTAATGTATTTTGCACTCCCTGCTAATTTCATCGTTTCTTTGCGGGGCTCTTAATTCAGCATAGTTCTCCAGAAATAACTTTGCTCATCTAAGAAAGTGGATTTTGCCTACGCAATATAGTCAAAAGTGCTACTGGACTACAAGTTGTTTTTACCAATACTATCTATTATTCTTCAGATTCCAGACATGGTCCTTTCCATTACCAATGGTCCTTGGGTTTAAAATCTACTTGTGAATGAGGCATCCTGGCTCATGTTTGATGATTAAATTAAGTTGGTTTGATGGTTTGATGGTTAGATTAAGGCTCCCCCCCGGGGGGGGGGGCTTGCCACTCCCAGCCAATGGAATCTGCAGGAAGTGGGGTGGACTGGTGCACCCTTTCTTACAGCTCCCGTTAAGTGGGAATGGCAAGCCATGGTCACAGGGAGCTGTGGGATTCCATGTCTGTGGACACTCAGGTAAACAAACCATGTGGCAGCCTACCCTGCATCTTATCCTGACCAACAACATTCTATCTTCTGGCCAGAGGTTCCCCACCCCTGTGCTAAACAATATTTTTCAGATAGAAAACCAACCATGAGTTGAGGGCAACAAGAAGAATCCATCACTTTTCTTAGCAGTTTGTTCCAGTGATTCATTACACGCACTCATTCAGATTAAAAATACGGAAAATGCTATGTCTTCAGCATCCAACTACTGATTATTGTTATACTTTTAAAGGGTACATAACAATATTTGCTCCCCATAAAGGTCAGATGAGCATTTATTGTCTTTGGGTATTTTTATTCCTCAGAATTATGATTAACTGGATGTCTGCCAATATCAAGTTAGCATACCAAATTTAGTTCTCCTTCCCATCTCTTTTTCAATGAAGATACAGTATGCCACAGATTCCTAAAATTCTTATAACTCTATTCCCTCCATAATTTTTCAGAGTGTAAATTTGTTTATAACAGTCTTGAAATCTGACACACCTTAAACTTTTTTCTAGTAAACTTCCATGAATCCCAATTCTTCTACAGCACTGTTAGGTTTTGGATCATTACTGTGCAATACCATACGTTTTCTTTTAAACAAGCAGTAGAAATGGTTTCTCTTTAGGAATAGTACCTGATTTTACAGCTACTATGCTTTAATATTAAATAGTCTCTTGAGCCAGTAACAAGATTTAACCTGTATAAATAATGGATCAAACAAGGAATATACAAGTTAATTCAACACATGCTAATGCACAAATAACTATGGAAGCCATGTATCTGCTGGAACTGTGCTCAGAGCAATATCAGTGGTAGGATATAAGTTCCACAATACAGAATATCTGACATGTCACTAGTAGGGAGGACTGCATTAATCCAAACTCAACATTTTTACTGTATATTTTACCTATTGTTTTTCTGTTACTTCATGCCTATTTTGAGTCCAGCCAGCATAAAAACTGTAAGTATCAAATTAATGAGACCCTCATGCTCTAGCTTGCATGAAAACAAAACAAACAAACAAACAAACAAAAAACGATACTGGAAATACCAGATCCCACTGATATGTGATTTTCTTATTTGGATTAACATAGTACTTATGAAAACCCATCATGGAACAGAGCCCGTTGTGCTATGCACTGTATCAACATAGAACAAAAGGCTTGTTACAAGAAGTTACAATGCCCTAAGAGGTTGGAGAAGGCAGAGTGGGAAATAAAAGGGAAACAAAAACTTTTCTTTGGTCAGCATAGCAGGCAACCATCTCTATTTGGTTCTGAGTACCAAAAAGGCAGATAAGTGTGGAATAAAAAAGGGAACCTTAGAACTTCTAGTGATTCACCTAGCTTTACTCACTGAATCATTTGGAGCTGAGGTTATTTGGCAGTTTTGAGAACCAGGTAACATTCATTTCAAAATCTGTATCTTAAAAACTTAACTCAAAGCATTTTAAAAAAGAACATTGGCTAAAACCTTTATATTTTATACCTACCACATCTTCATCTATTGTGCCTACTCTGAACAGATAGAAACTCCCATGAAAATATTTGATATTTTTTCTATAGAGAGAGAGGGATTTTGTTTGTTTTGTTTGTTTGTTTTTGCATCTCTCAGCCTGTAACTTTAGCTGCCTTATTTATTGGAGTTCAACTCCACATGAGTTGAAGGGAGAAGAAATTGTAAAAACAGGCCTGATTCTCAACTCCCTCGAGTGCAGATGTCTAAGGAACTATGTTGTTTCAAAACTAATGTATTGGAGTGATAGAAGTGTCCTAATGGATTTTAGAAATCCCTAATAGTAACTTCTTCTGCATGCGTGAATTTAAGGCCCAAAATCTCAGAAAATACCAGGGCTAGCAGCAAATACATTGGTGTAGATCAGGAGCTTTTGAAATAGTCATTTTTTTTCTGCCATGCTCTCTGTCTTCAAAAACACTTATCAGCATACCATTTCAATGCTCTCAAGTTCCATTGAA